TTCAATGATTTTTTTTTTCAGTACTGGAGATTGAATTCAGAACTTTGCACCTGCTTGGCAAGCATTCTACTACTTGAGCCATGTCCCCAGCCATTTTGATGGATTTTTAAAATTAGTTTTGTGATAGGGTCTCAATAACTTTGTCTGGGCTGGCCTCCAACTCACAATTCTCTTCCCTTTGCTTCTAGAATGGCTGGGATTACAGGTGTGTACCACCATGGCTGGCCTTCCAGTGATTCTATGAGCATTTAATGCACTATATTACTTCTGCTTCACGTACTTAGTATTTCTGGGTTTTTTTCACTGAAGGCCAACCAATGTAATTATACTCTCACAAAAAGGAAAAATTAGATCTGCTTTAATTATGCAAAAATAAATACTAATGTAAGTGTTCTTTATTATATCAGTCTCTAAAGCACTTTCCCCCCCTTTAAATTTCCATTAATGGGTGATGAAAATGAGGGAAATCTAGCTTGTGTTGATAATTTCAGAGTCCTAGTAGGTAAAAATCAAAGATAGGCAAATTAATAAAATGCTTGCAACTGGTAGTCATAAAGATAATAGAAAGGAAAATCTGGAGGTTCTAGGCATAAAATATTTTAATTAATAAAAAGTAAATTTTAAAGTGATAATCACAAATGCAAATGGTATATGTCTTCTTCCTAGACTGGCAGTATAAATTACCAAAGTAGGAAATAAAAATGCAAATACTTAATACAGATAGATGTTGGGAATACAAGCATTAGTACATGTTATGGAATTACATGTAATTACAAAATTACAAAAAAAATCAGAAGGAAAATGTCAAATTATACAAGCAACAATATAGATAGAGTACACTACTCCTGGTCCAAGTTACATTCCTGTTTTATCTAAGTATTGATCCCACTAACTCTATCATAACTTGTATATATTTACCTCACAGGTATAACCAAGATCATTAAAAATAATTCACAGCAAAAGGGCTGTGATTTTTACAAAATTAACCATCACAACAGAAGCACATACACTGAAAGTCTGTCACAATGCTTAGCAGATTTCATTGGCATTTGACAATATGTGCAAGAAGTGCATATGAATTACATTCTGTGACTAATTTCTTCTCCCTGTTTTTTAATCTGGATCCAAAAATCATTGTGCAAATTGTATCAGTAGAAAAACAGAGGAGAGTTTATTCTAGCTCTCTTGTTAACCATTTTGTCTAAAATTTCATTTGAAGAGCAGGCTATCACTGGTGTTTCTTTAATTCTGAACACATTTCTATATAGATTCTGATATGCTCAATAATAGTATTTTATGAAGCACTTCAACTTGGCAGCAGAATTCAGTGAACCTACTATTCTAAGCCTTATTAATCTAGAAAAATATTTCAAATAAAACAGTTTATGTTACACAAAATTCTATCTACTAACCTTTCCATCTATGTACCTATACAATATTGTATCCATTTATCTGAATATCTATGTATCTACTAATGTTTCCATCTATCCCTTCACCTTAATAATATGCTTGCCAAGCACCATAATTCTTGTAGTACTAAGGATTGAACTCAGAGCCTTGTGCTCACTCTATCACTTGAGTCACCCTCTCCCAAGTTCTTTTGCCTTTCGAGTGTTTTTCAGACAGGGTCTTATGCTAATTTTGCCTGGCCTGATCTCAAACTATGATCCTCCTCCTTCTTCATGCCCAGTAGCTGAGACCACAGGCAAATGCCATCCTGCCCACCTTGTTTTGGAGATAGGGTCAGCTAACATTTCCCAGGCTGACCTCAAATTGTTATCTGTCTCTGCCTCCTGATTAGCTCATCATTCTTACTCTGACAAAAAATTTGAAGAAATTTCTTTAAAATAAATGAATGAATTTTAATAATTGCCCTTATAAAGATAAAAATCCTATAATGATTAAGCAGCAATTTGAACTATTCCTTGATTCACAAAAATTGTGAGCAGAAGAAAAACTAATTTTCCTGAACCTTGATTCAATATAAGAAACTGCAATTTTCCAGTGTAAGTCATTTTTCATTTTCCGTATTAACCCAGATACATATTAATTTTATACATACATTTACAGATATGAATATTTAAAACTCATAAAATAAAAATTTACCTTTTCAAATAAGTCAATTATTAGTTAAAGAGAATACCAAGGTATTCTCTTTAAGAAAGTATCTAGAGTTTAAAAGGTACCTAGAGTTGATCACCCCAAGTAATGTAATTACCAACACCCATTGAACACAACTGTGTATTTTTTGGATTCCTAAAATTACCCTGTTGTGGTAGCACCATTATTGTCTCCTTTCACAGATGTAGAAACTGAGACTAAGAGACATTAAGTATTTTGCCCAAGTATGTATCACAAACAATAGAACTGGCATTAAATACCTGTAAAAAGATAACAGAGTGGTCTAAGACTTTTATCCCTGCAATTGGGGTAGCCCTAAATTCTGCAGAGCCTGAAGATTATATAATCCAAGGGGTCCTCTTAAAGAAGAAAGAGTCAGGTTCCTCCAGGTTCTTGGAGGAAACTCACGAAAAGAAGTAGTACAAACTTAAATTTCACTATCTTCATGGTAAATCCATCGTCACTAAACTAGGTAGTATTCTGAAGCTCTCCTCAAATATTTTTAGAAATAAACACAGCTTACAGTTTTTATTATCAATACATATGTCTCATTCCCTCACATACTACAATTTATATTTTATCAGTTTTCATCTATACTTCATTTTAATAATTTATTTCTAACTGCAGTTACTTTTCTTAATTGGCTTTTCGTAATTCTTAAACACTCATGTGTTTAGGATTGCCAAGTATCATGGCTCTCCAAACACATAAAGGAAGTTACTTGCCAACAAAATATTCTGATATATCCTCTATATCCACACACTCCCTTAGCTGTGACCTTGGAAATAGTGCAGAAATTTAAAACTATCCTTCGCCTTGTGTGGTTATGTGAGCTGGCTTCTGTTCATCTAGTATGCTTTGAAGGACATCATTTCTGCCTTTGGATACTCCGGTGGTAAATGACACAACTCTTACTATTGCTTAAGGAGTCTATAACTATGTCACTGTGCTCACTCTTGGTAAAGGAGTATCAGCAGGTTGTCAGGAAACCGATATTAAAAGTACACACCATCAGTCCTATTTAAGATTTTGAATGTTCATTTAATTTACAAAGACATCTTGATTGATGATTCCTCATGCTGATCGGAAGGTGGCAGATAGGTAGCTCTATACATGAAGTCATCCACAGACTGTCAATGTCCTTTTCATTCTCAGCTACAAAGTCTTACTGTCAATGCAATTACTCAGTGTCATTTTTTACTTGCATTATAGACTTGTCTGCTCTTTGAGGGATTTTGGCAAATGTTCTTGAGTTTTAGGTTTCTTCCCATAAGAACTGCTGAAGGCATTCTTTTCAAAAGATTCCACAGTTTTATATTCAAAAAGAAGCTGATTTTCTGAAATATTCCCTAAACAAATATTATATAAAAGAATTATTTGGATTATCACTAAAAACACCAGCTAAATAGTCTATGCAAGTGAGGTCCTTGAATTTAAACATGTTTGCAAATAGAACTGCAAATAGAGCAAAGTTCACACACACTACCTAAATTAATCCATTTGTATACTTGTTTCAAACAGAATTATGCAATTATTTTGCTGATATAAATGTTTTATGTTTGTGATAATACTTGTTTAATACATTAATGAAAACCACACAGAGATGAAGAAAAACCACATTCCTCTTATAATTTGGCTTAAAATTGAGAGTTAGGTGTTTCTTTTTCCTAATTCATTTCTCATAAAGTATATTTAATGCATCTGTATAATCCATGGTTTTCTCCATTTACTAGTAATTCCAGAAAAGAGTAACAACTAGGTACTTACCAAAATACTGTGATTGCAGCATAGCTTTCTTTTTGTGGATACAAGTTGAATAATATATTTGACACTATTTTCATGAATATTTAGTAAAGTTCAAAAAATCATAATTGTTTGCCATTTTTAAAGAGATGATTTACAAAGCAAAATATCAAAATTACAGTATTTCTCATGATTTTCATTACTTATAATTTGAATAACTACCAACAGATGGTATTGATATTTAATGTCCTTTGTGTACAAAAATATACTTATTACATTGATAGCCTATTACTAAACATAAATTATTTTTACCCAAATATGCAAAGGAAAAAGTTCTTTCAAATGTAAAGCAATAAAATACTTTAAAATTAAAGCATAGGCTCTGTATAAATTTAATTATTATCACAGACTATACTTCCTAATTTAGTTTTAGCATATCATGAATTCTGCTTTCATAGTGCCTGTATAAAGAAAACTCATTTCATATTTCTGGCTTACAGACTTATTCTACTTGTCTACACTAGAAAGAGGAATTGTATCAGTATTGCTTTATTTATTAACTGAAAGGGGGTGTGGAGACTTTACATTAACATCATTTTCTTTTCATCCTATGAACATTTTCAATTAAATATCCAAAGCATCCTTTAATAATAGAGATCTCAAGTTGGTTTGAATGTTAGGAAGAATGGCTCAGGCATAATAATAATGCAGAAAATCAATGCTAATTTGGCAGAAGGCTGATTTCCTACAGAAATTTGGAATTCCTGAGGATTATAGAAACCTCGCTAATTCATGAGGCTTAAGGGGCAATCTCTGAGTGATAAATGTCATGGTCTACCAGATCCTCTTTTTTCTATACTTCCTCATTTTTTCTATTGAATTCGTTATTAGTATTGAATGTGTTAATAGTCATTCCTGATATTTTTTCCTAGAAGAAGCTATTTCTATTAACTTGCTTTTATGGCATTTCAAGTGTATCTTGAACACATACTTGAAAATACACTGACCTTGTGGCATCACAAATTATTGGCAATTACAATTTGATATTATGTCCAGAAACTAAAGCCTAGAACAGCATAATGACTAGTACCACGTTCCATGTGTCACAAATACTATGATTCTCAATGCCTAGGATGCTAAAACTGAAATAAATGAGAAGGGGTTGCCTTATTGGAATTAACAAACCTATTTTTGAGTTTCTTTATGGCTGTCTTTACTTCTTGATTTCTCAAAGTATAGATAACTGGGTTCAGAATGGGAGTAAAGATGGTGTAAAACACAGACAGGATCTTTTCTATCACAAAGCTGTTTTGTGGCCACATGTAAATGAATATACATGGGCCAAAAAACATGACGACAACAGTGAAGTGAGCTGTACAGGTAGAAAGGGCCTTAGATGATCCTCTGAAAGAATGCTGCTTGATAGTAACCAGGACAATAACATATGAAGTAAATAAAAGAATAAAGCAGGACAAAGCTATTATTCCACTGGTTGAGATCATAAAGAGGCCCAAAACATAAGTATCCACACAGGCCAGCTGAAAGACCACAGGTAGGTCACAAAAGAAGCTATCTACCTTATTGGGACCACAGAATGGTAGTGTGAGGGCAAATATGACCTGGCTCATGGAATGCATGATCCCAACAACCCAGGAAGCTACCACAAAAGCAGCACACACCTGGGGACTAATGATGGAAGCATAGCGCAGGGGTTTACAAATTGCAATATACCTATCAAAAGACATAGCCATTAGTAAAACGATCTCAGTGCCAGTGAAAAGGTGCAGAAAGAATATCTGGGTGATGCAGCCATCAAAAGAGATGGTTTTATGTCCAATCAGGTAATCTGTAATCATCTTGGGAGTAGCAAAGGAAGCAAGAGACATATCAATGATAGAAAGATTGGTAAGCAAGAAATACATAGCAGAGTGAAGGTGAGAGTCAGATACTACTGTGATGACTATGAGGCTATTGCCCACCATTGTCGCTACATAAAACAGTGAAAACACCATAAAGAAAACCATCTGTACTTCCCAAGAATTAGAGAACCCCAGTAAAATAAATTCAGACATGGTAGACTTATTGGCCATATCCATTGTGTTGTTTCATAAGTAGAAACCTGAATAAAGAAGAAAAAATAATAGAAATTATGATTTAATTGGAAAAAAAGCTCCATTTCCAAGAGTATATTTTCAAAGACTTTGTTTCCTCTCTGACAACGTATCCTTACTATTCTTTTTAACCTTCTCATTTGGTATATTGGTTTGAAAGGAAATTGTAAAGTAGTACATATAAAGCAAAATGCTCTAAATCATGTGATCCTAATTATTGAAAACAACACTTTTACTCCTTTTTCCTAGTGCCAAATGGCAATGAAGTGGAAATAATACTATAAAAAGTCCTACCTACATAAATTCTATTCATTCTTCCTAATGATAATGTCTAATATTTAGTAAGCACTTACCTTATACTGCCAATGTGTAAAACACACAGAGACACGCATACATGCACATATATGTGTAGTCATTTGGAGTTATCCATGAATATATCCTTACTGAAAAGTAATATAATAGCATATCACAAGTAAGGATTCTTAAGAAGCATTTATAGTAAGGCTTCAAAGAACAGTTGTAGAACAGTTATAAATTTCCAGAAAAGAACTGTTAAGATATTTACAGATAACAGTTTCCTGCTTAAAACCTAGCAGAAACAGAGAAGACTAGTTTTGTTGATACTCATGGAAGAAGACTAATTGTCAAGTTTTTACAATAAACAGTCAAAGAAAAGACATTTAACTTCTTTTGGTCACCATTTCCTTTCACTAAAACACAAATCTGCTCCTCCTACAAATGCTTGTAATTTTACAATTTAAAATTTTACATTTGTTTCCTAAAGGATATATCACATCACTTTTATGGCAAAGAGCTCAAAAATCAATCTTTGTTTTTCCATATTATATATGCCAACATGAAGCTGTTCTATGCACCTCAGCTCTATGCAATACCAGAATGGGCAAGCACTTAACGTCTTTCAAAAGAAATCATTTATAATTCACCTTTATTTACCAGATCTATGGCAGAACCATGGCTTTAGATGATTCAGGTTTAAGTAGGCTTCTGACAGAGATCATAGGAGAAAATCTTAAACATAAATAAATGACCTAAGTGAATCATTAGTGGCTTAGCAGCTACAGACAAAATGGATATTGTAAGTACTTGGGAATTCACCGTGAAAACCTCTTGCAATGGGACTTATTAAACAACAAAGATGGTATTAGTGTGTTCACAAAGGGAAGATATTTCAGAATCTCATGGGAATTTACAATGATTGTTTTCACCTGGACCAAAGAAATTTAGTAAATGGAAGTTAGAAAAGTTATCCTTTTAAAAGACAGCAGGAAATACCAAGTCACCTAATCTTAATAAGCAGTTAGTTGTCTAAATCTGTTATGGAAGCAATGGAGAATAAAACCCAAAACATCACCTCTGCTTCAATTAATTTAGAGTCCTTTGGAGGTAATGAACACCCATGAATAAAACATTTGGTAAAGATACAACTAAACAAATCTTGTGCGAAGCCACTTCTCAGGAACCTTGAGTGAAATGAACTTCAGCTGAAGGAAAATTTATAATGTGCTTTAAAATCAAGAACGTATTCTTGCAGAATTGCAAGGCCTAGAAAAAAGCCTAAAATTTTGATTGGTAGAAGAAAAACATGCATGTGTAGAAAAACAATGTGGATTTATCCAAGTACTTCTGAGGGAGAAATCTGAGCAAGGCATTACTAAATGAAACTGATAAAAAGAGATAGCATTGACTATGGTATTGATAATGTGAATAGTATTGTGATTAATAAACAAAAATTCTAAGTAACTGTCGATATGAATAGTTTTATTTATTGACTATGAACAGTATGATTGCAATCTAGTGGCAGTTTCTGTGGACTGCATTTTCAAAAATAAAAATTGTCTACCTTTCTGTATATGTTCCATTCTTTCAGGGTTTCTCCTGTGCTGGGGGAGGAGCGTAACTCCCACCTCATTTACCAGGGCTTGGCTACATGGCTTACTTTGCTGAATGTACTTTGAGCAGAAGTGCCATAGGCCACAGCTGAGAAAGCTTTACCAGTTTATGTGTTACTGCTGCATTGTTCTTCCACCTCCTGTTGCCCAGGACAGACAGAGTAAATTCAAAGAGATATGGAGGCCCACTGCTTGTGGACACAAAGATACAATATTACTAATATAGCAACAGCTCCTAATTGAACACTATCTTAATCAACATCTCAGTAGGAATTTTTAAGAAATAAAATTTACATAAATTGTTAAGACAGAAGATCACCAAAGCAATTTGCTAGGCTCGTATCACCTGTTTTCAGAACCTAATATAAAGCTATTATAATCAATTGAGCCTGATGTTTGCCTAAGACTAGACAAGTAGATAAGTGGAACAGAGTAGAAAATCAGAAAAAAAAAATACATACATTGATGGTCACCAATTTTCAACAAAGCTGCCCAAATAACTTGAGGTAAAGGATAGTCTTTTCATCAAATACTGTTGAAATAATTGGATATCTGTATGCAAACATAACTAAAATAAATTCCTCAATCCTTGCCTATGCCTATAACAAGAATCAATTTCAAATGAATATGGGCCTAAATGTTAAGTTACAGCTCAAAAGTCACACAATAAAACTCAGGAGAAATTCTTTTGACCTAAAGTAAAGAAAAAATCTCTAAAAAATTTTTTTAATTAATAATAAGCTAAATAAAACATTAAAACTTCTGGTCTCTAGAAAATTCTGTTAAGTAAGTAAAACCGTACCACTAACTGGAAGAAAATATTTGTATCAAGAGCACAACTGGTACAAACGGAAAAGGTATACCCATTTTTGGAAAATGGCTTGGCAATTTACACGGAGAAACATAAAATTACTATGTAACCTGGTAAGTTTCTCTTAGGCACTTATTTAAGAAAATAAAAGCACTTATTTTGTTCCTAATCAAAAATAGAACGAGGAGCCAGTTATGGTGGCACACAAGAGCTACAAGAGCAAAATGCCAATTTATCTACAAGGGAAAAACCATCAGAAGTACATCAGACCTCAGCAGAAAAACTAAATGCCAGGAAAGCACAGAGTGATGTACTTCAAGCCCTGAAAGTAAAAACAACCAAGTTTTCCATATCCAACAAAGTTATCCATTAAAAATCAATACAGAAATAAAGATTTTCCAAGATAAGCAAGAACTAAAGTTACTAATGACCACTAAGCCACCATCACAGAAGATACTTAAAGGAATCTTAGACACAGAACAGAAGAAAGAAGATCACAAACACCACCTCAAGAAAAAATAAAGTTTATGAAAGGAATAGTGGAACAAATGAAGATTAGTAAAGAATCGAACATGATTAACTCAGTAAATGAACAAACTCTCAAAATGATAATAGAAAAGGATAAATAATAGTGGACTTAACCAAGAAAAATGCCAGAGGAATTACAGGAACCAGAAACACTCTCAATTATAACCCAAAATGTAAATGGTCTTAACTATCCATTTAAAAGATGATGGCTGGTTAAATATTAGCAAACAGAATTCAACTGTTTGTTGTCTGCAATAAACTATTTCACCACAGGCACACAGACTGAAATCAAAGGATGGAAAATGATATTCTAAGCGAGTAGAAACTTAAAGCAAGCAAGAGTAGCTATACTCATATCTGACACAATAGATGTCAAACCAAAATGAATCAAAAGAGATACAGAAGGTCACTGTGTATTAACAGAGGGAATAATCTGTCAAGAATATAACTAATGTAAATATATATGCACCCAATGTTGGTGTACTCTGTTTAAACATACAAATGCTACTGAAAATAAAGAGAGGTAGGTCCAGATACAATCTTAGTGGGTAAGTGACTTTAATAACCCTCTCATCAAGAGAAAAATTATCCAGACAAAGAACTCAACAAAGAAACTTCAAAATTAAACTGCACCATAGAGCAAATGGACTTAATACACATCTATAGAATATGCCATTCAATAGTGGCTGAACACACAGTCTACTCAGCAGCACACGGAACTTTGTTCAAAAGAGATCACTTTTTAGGCTGTAAAGCAAGTCTTTACAAAAAACAAAAAACTGAAATAGTTACTTAAACATCAGATCACTTACTGATAAAAATAAACAAAGTACACAAACTACCAAAAACTTGGGGATTGAATAACACACTTTTGAATAATCAGTGGTTAATTGAAGAAATCAGGGAGGAAATTAAAGCATTCCTAGAACCAAACAAAAATGAGATTACACCATACCAAACCAGGTCTGAAGGTACAGGCTTATAAACCCAAATACAAGAGTTCTTAGCAAAAGACTTGCAAACTGAATTCAACAGTGCCTTAAAAATATACACTATCATCAAGTTGTTTTCATTCCATGGGTGCAAGAATGATTACTCATATACAAAACAATAAATGAAATAATAGAAATAAATCAGGAACATGCACCACAAGATCATCTCAAAAGACAAGAAAAGTCTTGGATAAAATTCATCATCCCTTCATGATAAAAGCCTTGAAGAAATTATTCATAGAAGGAAAATGTATTGACATAATAAACACTGTATAAGCTAAGGCAGCCCTGAGAGGAAAGTTTATAGACATAAGTGCATATATTAAAAAGACTGAAAGATCCCAAATCAATGACTTAATGATACATCTCAAACTCCTAGAAAAACAAGAACAAGCAAATCCCAAAACAAATAGAAGGAGAGAAATAATAAAAATAAGAGCTGAAATCAACAAAATAGAAACCAAAAAAACCATACAAAGAATTAATGAAACAAAAAGTTGGTTCTTTGAAAAAATAAACAAGATCGATAGACCCCTGCAAACCTGACTAAAATGAGGAGAGAAAAAAATCCAAACTAGTAGAATCAGGAATGCAAAAGGGGAGATAACAACAACACCATGGAAGTCAGGAAATCATCAGAGACTACTTTGAAACCTATATTCAATAAATTTGAAAATCTTAAAGAAATGGACAGATTTCTAGATACATATGATCATCCAAAACTGAACCAAGAGGAAATCAATC